AATAGAGATTAGAGCTATGGAACGAGAAGTAATGAAAAAACGGCTTTAGTGAAAATGAGCTCACTCACAGCACGAAACAGTGGTGTGACAGCACTTTCGGCCAATTTGAGGCAAATTATGAGACATCCAAAATTTTTTGTGCAGCTTTTTAATGTAGATGACGTGTTTCAGCTTTCGTACACCAAGAAAGTGCGCTTATTCGCATCAGGCGCCTCCGTTTGCGTAGAGGTGCTTCATTCTCCCGATACGGTAGTCTCTACTGTTTGCTCTGCTACTTTCTGGTTGTCATGATCCGTCCCTCCACAGACTGGCGCTTAAAGGAATCTGATGGGATTGGAGCTTGTCTGCTTTGCGAAGCCTCCTGTTCAATTGTTGTTGTATAGGACTTGAAAAAATGCGACACCAAAGTGTATCATCCACACCCATTACTCTGAGATAAAAAAACAGCTGTCTGCTACTTTCGACAGGTTATCACAAGGATAATATGTCAGGAAGACCATTCACCACTGCTTAACGGGAGTGATAGTGGAAGTCGAGGGAGCTAGACATATTCGGTAGCGAGCTTTAAAGGCTATTATTTCGTTCTTCACTCCTTTCACGTTACTTCAAAGCGCTCTGTGGAAGAGGTTGTGTGTGGAGCGATTTGTGCCGTGAAGCGGATATTTTTTTCTGACGCTAGAGAAACAAATTTGCCTTCATGTATCCACAAGTGCTTCACTATCTTCATACCCTACGCTTCCAAAGCAAGTAAGGCTTCGTTCCCAAAGGGCCTGATACCTTCTATGTGTCTCTCTGAGTGTACGTTTGGAGAGGAGGACACTTCTGATGCTCTCGTTCTTTAGTTGGAGGCTAAACAATAATTGCACATTAGATCCATCTCCTCGCGTTGCAATCTCCACTTGTTTTCTTGGGTATGTTCAATGGAATCGTCTTTCATCTTCTCTCCTTCTAAACCACTAAAGAAAGGGACGACTCTTATTCCCACAATGCAATACAGGACAACGCAACACCTTATACCTCACAGCCCACACCTCACTGAGAAGCTGACTGAGAGAGAGGGAGAGGGTGAGACATCAGACAGTAGCATTCGAAACAGATTAGAGGGCTAGGCAATGGAAATGGGGCGGAAATGGTGGTGATGAATGCTAGACCTATATCGCCTGCCTCAGACGAAAAAAGATCTTTTATGAAAGTAGAAATCCTCTTTAGATTATGTTTCTCTACAGACCTTAGGCCAAAAGCCACGTAAGTGACTGTCTTAGCCACCGAATTACTAGAAAAAGTCTTTTGTACCACTTAATTGACTGTCTGCAAAAAAGCAGTGCAATTTTTATTTAGTCGTCACTTGGATCCGCATATATTACAAAGGGATTACTGGGGATTTACCACTGACCTTCAGCATCTTATCTAATAAGTTGGCTTGCATGCTTTACCCCCTAATCTGTCTGTAGTGATCCTAATTCCCTTTAATACCACTTGATCTTACATTGCCAAAATGATCTAACCCATTTGTATCTTGGAGTTTGATAGCCTTTTCTTCCTATTATACATAAGGGAAAATACTTTGCCCTTTATTTCAATCCAATAATTATGTCACTGCAATTCCTCCATGTCTGTACTCATTATCGTTTGTCATCTCAATACTGTAGAGACGCATATCACTATAATTAGGGACTGCATTGCTGACCTGCGATTGGTTGTATTTCACTTCCTGCAGCAACGCTGGCCTTGACTTACTTCAATTCAATCTTATCCGGCTGTTCATTTGCAAGTTAATCAAATAGGATCGAGCTGTTTGATTAAGTGACTACGAAGGTTTGCGTAGATTAATTTGTTTGTCGAGACAGTCACCACAAGCATACTGAGGTTTCTGCATTCAAGAAGAATTTTCCCATCTGTGGCAAGCAGACTAGGTCCAGTATTCACCGCCTCCATTCCCAACCCACTCCCATCCCCCGACTTTTGTCTGTTTCGAATGCAGATGCCTAATATCTCTCCCTCCCTCCTTCTTAGCCTAATGCACAGTGAGGTGTGGTTCGTGAGGTAAGAGGCAATACGCTGTGCCCAATTGTGGGGAGAAGAGACAAACTTTCTTTTGAGTTGTTCTGGAGAAGAAAACGAAGAAGTTATTTTAAAAACACGTCCGAGAAATGATGTGGAGTTTGTGGTGGGGAGATGGATGGGATGTGTAATTACCATTTGGCTCTCAACTAGAGACCAAGAGCGTCTGAAGTCCTCATCTACATTCAGCTTCAAATAAAGCATCGAATCTCTTAAAAATGAAGCGGAGCGTGCCTTGAAAGTGTAAACTAGCAAGATTGTGAACCATTTGGGATAAGTGAAGGCCACCTTGCTCACTTATCTTTGGGACAAAATGTCTACATCCAATCACAAATTTGGCCAAAGGTGAATTGCTTAACTGGGCTCGTTAAACACCAATGAAATTGTCCTTGAGATGTTCTTATCGAGAATTGAAGCGTTTTCTCATCTTGAGGAGGCCACTGTTTTCAATTTGTTTATTTAATTTACTTTGGAGCGGCAGATGATCAGTATTGGAACGGATTGAAGAAGTGGACAAGCTCGGTTTCGCATAAGAACCATTCAAATTGGCGAAAAAAAGACATTACAGCGCAGATTAAAGAATGGCTGAGAAATGGCGCCCATAAATGCTTTACAATGGGCGACAACAAGAAAACCACTGACTTTTGGTTACCAGAGGGAACAAATTGAGGCACTTGTCTGCTCAGTTTATGCGATAAGAAGTAGGGTAACTAAAAATTGTGAAATTGTGAGCTTGAAATATATTGCTTTACCTTGGTCCCAAAAGAGGTCACTATTTTATCCTTAATAAAGCCACTAGTGTTGGCTAAATGTTTCCTGTAGTTGTGTCTATTCTGAGCGTCGAGGCATTGACACAGGTTCATAATACAGAATAAAATTGGGTGCGTGTTTACTACATAAACCAGTTCCGTTGTAATCAAAACAAATTCGTCAGGATTGATCGTTAGAGTTGTCGCAGGAATGTTTTTCAGCATTCTATGGTGATGAACAGCAATGGGGCAAATCCAAAAGGTTGGGAGGCTAGGTTGTTCATAGGCGGCAAATGTACAGCACACCCAATAGGGCAGGCAGGTTGCCAGTTTCATTGAGAAGTTCTGAGCCTGCAGAGGAAATGAATGTGCTACAGACCTGAACGGAGACCAGATTGGAGACAATGGATGCCGAAGTAATGTGGGCTAACTTAAATGGCCAGATAGGTAGAAGAGCTAACAAAGGTTTTGAGGAAACACCTTATTGCGAATAGGCTGATACAAACTCTGAGCTGAGGACGCCCATGATGATTGCCATCCGTGTTACTCATGTTTGCAGGGCAGAAGCAAAGACGATGCGGTGGACTGGGATTCCAGAAACTTAAAAAAACTGACCAGTATGATATCGGAGCATATGAGGTTCCAGCACTCAGGTCGGAAATGATTTTAGCTGGGCTACAGGTTGTAGCAGTGGAGCCCAGATCAAGAGAGACTCAAAAAAAACACGCTAACCATAAAATTTGCTTTGTTTTAAGCATTTATCTCGGCACTTCCTGTCTTCTCTCTCTTTTTTCACCGTCACAGCAGCAACTGGTTGAAGCGAACCCAAATGTTAGGTAGAAACTGGCCTCCCCTTATCAAACGCGAAGAGATCTCCCTGTTTCCAGGTCACTGAGGGCTAAAATCGTTTGTGGTTTACGCTAATGGACTGAATTAAACAAAATTATTTCAACGAGCGAGTGGTTAGAAAGATATTTGGTGACCAAAAAGATTTTGCATAATATTTGGTATGGTTCCAGCCAATGAGTTGGTAAGTAGTGAAACGATTGGTGACGACCCACACCATCCAAGAAGGGGGGACAGGACGGGGGTCAACACATCAATCATGAACAGATGACAATAGGCTTCAAAGATTACTGACTAATGCGATGTCGAAACACTGCTTCTGTTCCAGAGTTGGACGAATGAGTTTCCTTGGGATATGTAAGGTCCAGCGCAGACGTAATTTTGATCATGGGATGAGGTTTTACGTAACCCCATTCTCCTTCAGACTCTTCTGTCATCCGCGTCTTCGAATTCGGTCATCTGCAGCAGAGGGCTTCACTATATGATTCCCTAATGGCACCTAAGCGGTCAACTCCGAAATGAGACACCTTTGAAGCAACAGGGGTCTCTTTCCCAGGGGTAGCAGATTTTAACCCACTCTCCTCTTACAAATCTATGGCTAAATTACCCTAAATTACACTAGTGACATGGATGGATATCACTCAAAAACCTTGGCACATTTTTTGCTATTTCTTTACCATAAAAACGGAAGGTCCACATTGGTATAAAAAATAAACGAAACATTTTTTAGACAGAAAGACTATCCGCAAAACAGCATTGTGTTTGGAATATTCTCCCACCAAAACCTCCTCACGGTATGATAAGAGTCCCTTCAAATGTACAAACGGGGAAAATGTCTTTTGAAAAGGGTAGAAATTAAAAAGGGTTTTAATGCCTTTGATTTGGAAGAATAAATCATGGTAGTTTTAACCAGTACTACCAAGAGACACCGTTAAAGGGAAATAACAACAAGGGCGTGCGTTCTCTCCCGCCTTCGCCTTGATTGCACTCCCACCTACACAACCTCCGTGATTTGCCCTTAAAAAGGGCAGCTAAAAGTACATTTGCTTGAGTAGTTTTGCTCCAAGATTTTCACTTTAAGGAAAAGTGAAATAACACTTTTAAAGTGGAAAAAACGTTTCAAGGTCTACTTTTGTGGAGTTATTTGATATGTTTAACTGTGAATGTCAGTAGGAGCTGGGGGATGGACGATACAGCCTCCTCGCCGTATCCAACTAATAGCCTCTCGACTCTTCAGCATGTTAATAAGTAGCAGTAAGTCGTAAATGGGATGTTCTCCTTTAGCGCATTATGACTCTAAGAGGACCGGGGACGCTACTGTTGACCTAAAGTAAGAATTTCCGGTTCGAAGGTTAAACTACATGCATGGACAAAACGAATCATAACTTTTCTTATTCTAAACTAAAAATTCTTCTCTGATGTTGGGATTTCTTAACAGATAGGGGGTTTCACTTCTAAAGATGGCGACATCCAGGGAGAACGTCGTTCACTGGCAGGAGAAAGAATTTAGGGACATAGTCTAGTGGCACAGACCTCTTCACCTCAAATTATGGTTGCGTGCAGATGGGTCACAACCCTATTTTTTAGATAAAGTATTTTTTAGTTAATTTTGTAATTTACAGAACTATGGTGTTTAAAAGTGATCAGGCCTAATAAAGTTTCGTCTTTTAGCTACAAAATGCAGCACTTCGACTGCATCTTTAGCAACGCGGGCACTGAAGGGCGCAAGAATAGGCCATTCCACTGGGTGGAATGGCCTATGGGCCATGTCGGCAGCACTTCAGCCCCTCTGTAGGTCGACAATACGTTGTCCGTTCTAGTGTTGACAAACTGTCACCTTCGGGGAAGTCTTGGGTCGCTGCATCGGTGGCGGAGGCAAATGGGCCCCATTTTTATTGCCAAATTGTTATACCTTAAGGTGATGGAAGGCGGAACTGTGAAGACTCCCAACAGAAGGGTTGAAAATGACATCTACCTTCGGCAACTGCTCCAATCCAGCGTTCTGCAGGAATGCTAAAAAGGTGAAGCGACATTAGTTATTAGCATCTAAAAAGGCTTGTTACGGCGCTGTCTGTAGTACCTGCATAAAGTTGTCAATCAAGTGAACTTGCAATGTCCCCTCCACGGCTCTACTATCTGGACAGAACTTAGATAGATATAAGGCTGGGTAGCACTGAAGTAGGATCAACGAGGTAAGATGGAACAGATGTGGAACCTTATCCCCACAAAACTAGTTAGACCGGAGTTCCTACGACTAACTATGGCGTCGGTGTAAAACACCGTCTATCGGCATTCCTCCCCTCCCCCAATATATTACTTAAACAGGCCAAAAAGTATCCAGCCCTAGTGGAACTGCGGAGATAGATGCGTGATTTTGAGATGGAACATTTACTTAGTTTCACGTAAATTCGATGGCTAGCAAGGCTGGTTCGTGGAAAGTATTTTGGAAACACTGAGATCTCGCTGCTTGGTTTTAGTGAGACAAATCTTAGGTGGATCAAAAATGTTTCTACCGTCAACGATATAACCTGATAGAATGGCTTGCTGTAGTGCATATGGATGGAAATAATGGGGAGTTGATAGGTATTCTGAGTCAGAAAATCTATTCGGTACTCTCTACAACATTTATTTTGGAATCCTACACTCCGTCTACCATCTGCTCTCTTTACAAAGTGAGTTAAAATTGGCTCCAAAATCCACTCAAGCCTCTCAGAAGTGATTGAAAAAATATGAATTTAATGTTTCACTCTAAACGACCTTTGGCGTTCAAATGGAGCCTTTTTCTCAGACACCAGCCATTTTTTTATCACTGTTAGCACTCTGCTTCAAAACCAACTCGGTAATATCTTTTCCCAATGCTCTTCACCTTCGTTGGGTAGAAACTTCTTGAAGGCAAACCAACAGGGCCAGGCGCCATACCTTAACGTAGAGTGGAAGTCTTCTTGTATCTTTATTCGACACAGCAACTCTTCCACAGGGTCCAATAGGTATCGCCATAAAAGGATTTTATCCACTAATGGAAAATGAGAAGTAGCATTTTCAAACCAAAATTAAACAAAAGGGCATCTCCACGCACCTCCTTGTGCCCAGAAGACTGAGCTACCTTTGTGTGCCCATGGAGCACTGGACACTCAACAGTAAAGCATGATGAAGGTACGATACCTGTCTGTACTAATTTCTGCCTGTGTCGTGAATGTCAAAGGCTGGTGAATGGTTAATCACATGGAGAAGGGAATACTTTGCATCATTACCCTCTTCTGTACTCTCCTGATGATTTTTTCTCAATTAGTGGCAATCACTTCCTCCTCCCACTGGAATCAGGCAAACAAATGAGAAAAAAGAGTGAAGAGGAAACGAATAGGGCTGAGAATAGGCTCAGGTTACTTGTTTCTAGAAACAAAGCCCTCTAAAAATAGCGTGATTTTTAACGACCTGCCTATTGTTGAGGAGGGAGCAGATCAACGTAGTGATAACTTCAACAAACAAAACGTGAATGGGCTCCCTTCATTTGTTTGCCGTTTTTTGTCGAAAAAGCCCAAATTTTTTTTGCTACTTCCCCCTTTTATCCTTTATAAGCCAATAAACTGATTGGCTATGGAGTGGAGAGTTGACACCATTGCAAGACCGACCACGCCTGGGAGAACCAACTTTTAGGGAGCGAATCAAGTTCCTCCTTTTTTGTCGTTCAAAATACATAATTTTAGATGTATTGTATTGCCCCCCCTTTCTTCTCTTGTTCAACTTAGAGGAAGGAGCCAGTATCTCTCCTCCTTTTGATCTCCTAAAAATCTACCAGCCTCTCAGCTCCTTAGCTGATAGATGCCTTCACTTGTAGGCTTTCAAGAGTCACGAAGTACTCAGTCTTTACATTTTACAAGTGTCTTTATGATATTTTGCGTAAAAAAATTTGGGTTGGAACATGTGAAAAAACTCAACAAGTCTTGTTGGAAGTTTCATGTTTCAGTCTAGATTTGGATTTTACTTTTTCCTTAGACAAGGGTAAACAAGGGAGGCGAGTCTAAATGAAATCAGGAAGTTGTTTTAAGACAAATGTACATTTAAACCTTTTAATACTCTCCTGATAATACCTTCTTGCTGTCTTTACCTCATGTCGTTGAAATGAGACGACGAACCCATTAAGAGATGACGTCCATCAACAGTAACAGTGATCGGCGTTGGAGAACGAATTTGCAGAAGAAAAGGATTGATTGACTTCTTACTGCCCTTTTAATCAAAAAGTCGGTGTTAAAAGAAAGTCGAGATGCGAAGAAATCGTGTCGTTTGGGTTGAGTCTGACAAGAGCAGTTGGACGTGAGGACGTGACTAATTAGAGCACTAAATCATTTCAGACGTGATTTATGTCCGACATGCGGCTGAAACCCCACTATTCATCCATGGAATCACGACACGTGGAATCTGTCTTCCTTTTTTCCCTCCCGTTTAGCTCATCCAAAGGGCGTTACTTATCTCTCATGTACCTCTCCCTGCACCACCTTCTATCAGCCTGCCGATTGGTACCGTTACGTGGATTCACAAAAATTTATCCGTTGGTAAAACGGTACTCATAGAAGAGCTTTTGTTAATAGAATTTAAGTAAATAAAAAGCGTTTATGAGTCGGTATAGAAAATGGTGAAAATGTAGGCCCTCAAGTCCTTCAAAGGACCCGAAGTTATCAGTTTGGCCCGGAGGCTATGCTGCCGAGCAGAAGTGCAGTCTTCAAGAACTTAACTGCTCACGTAATTAAACACGGCTAAACAAACTACCAATTTTCCAAAAATGAGGGCATGCTTTTACAAAATAAAGTTGATTTAATAAGTGAGGAGAAGGAAGGGAAGGAGGTAAACTAACCACCTCCTCTTTCCTTTTCAACGGTGCATTGGCTCGATGTCTTCCATTTTTTCTTCTCATCATTTTTGTCAATGTACCGATCCACCAATGTCTTACGGTGTAAATTTGCAAATACGAGCTGGAAAGGAATTGTTGGGAGGTTACAATAGGATCCAAAAATGATGTACTGGCTTACAGTTCTCTTGACAGAGCCCACAGTTGAAAAATTCCTTAGCTTTCCTCACCTAAAACGTGATACATTGTTTCCAATCAGTAATGTTTTGCTTGCCTTGAAACGAGTAGGATCATTCTGTTTTAAGTTCAGGGCATAGACTATACCTACAAACAAGAAGAAAGCATTATTTCTCTTCAGAGTTGGTCCTTCACAAGGGTCTTCATCGGTGAAGTGGTTCGGATTTGATCGCCATCCTGTACATTGACTCCATTCCCAGGGAGAGATATCTTACTGATCTGGACACTCAAACTGCCTTTCACCTAAAAAAATCGAGGAAAGTTAGAATTTGAAACTTGATGTATCTAATCAGGAGTTTTGCAATCCGTTTGAGTTTGTTTGAAAAAAGGTAAGAGGGATGTCCACCTTAATAAAAATCTGACTGACTTTGTGGCCGTTAACTCCCGTTTCGCCTGCTCATTAAGCCATCAAATAGGCACTTAAGCGACCACTTTGAATGAATGGAGAGAATGATAGACAATATGACAACCAAAACTCTTAAATGCACAAAGATCCTGATTTTAGAATAGTTTCAACAACTCGTCTTTGCCTTCAAAACTATCAAAGGGTATAACTTGACAGGGCATAATATTCACCTCTTGACCTGACATGGAAATAGGAATGGGTGCCATTATTCTCGGCTTGATTAACGCATCAAACTGCCCAAATGTACTTTGTCCTGCCTGTTTAGCTTGGCCTTGGTACAGGTGGCCTGCGTTTAATGCGCTTGGCTCCACTTTATTCGCAGTGACTTCTGTTGACGCCCTCTAAAGTGATTTTTGAATGAACTACTTACAAAATCACAGAACTTTTCCTGAAAATTGAGTCAAAATCACTTCATTTTATATCGGTGATGAAGTGGTTTGCCCGGTGGATAAAAACAAAGCGGATTGTTCTTTTGGATTTATCAGCGTTTAAGTCCCATTCTTTAGTGAAGACATTTAAAATTCGTGCATGAATTTAAAAGATTTTAGTAAGGAGGTAGGGTCGGAAAAGCGAAAGAGAGGTGTTAAGTGAGGTTTCCCCCAATTTAAAAATCATTCAAAACCCGTCCATCTAGCTTATCCCATTTTCCCTGATATGATGGTGGGATGAAATGAAAGGGAGGGGAGTAGGATGAGGAGAACAGGAAGGTGTGCGGCACTGGCAGGCTGACCTGGGCATTTTCCTCTATTCCTTACGGCACTTCTCTTTCTGGTTACTTGATGGTCTTGACCGCAAGGCCAAAATATATACTTGCAAAACTTTATAAAGGCGGGAGATGCAAATTCCCATTTTGCATATTTTTAAATTCTATCTTTGGATGGAAGGTGGTTTAAAGGTTTAAAAGAAATTGACTAAACTAATTAATGTGGTGAGAGGATGCACTTTACCTCTGGTGCAAGTAAACAATTTATCTGCATCGTGTCACTTAGAGGAAAATTTGAAAAAATAAGAAAATGTAAGCATTATCTTCTATCTCATTTCTTAGCAGGACAGCCCATCTCCGTTAAGTTGGGATATTTAAACCATTCGAGATACTTTTTTCTCGTTTTGTGATGTAACTATGGGGAAAGCAAGGGGAGGAGAGCACTCATCTCATTGACATCAAAATTACCCTCCCTGTTTCCTGTCGTTAGGATGAGGTCATTTAGCCCACAAAGTCCCCATCTCAGCATGGTAGAGCAATTTACTCGTCACCATTTTATTCGACTTTGAGGAGAACCCAGCTTAATGCAGGAATAGTCAAGGTGGTATCTACTAAGTCAATCTAAAATTGGAGGCTTTGATTAACTTTGTAAGATTACATGTTTGCTGGTTAGCATAAAGCATCCATTCGACTTGCAGTGGTGGAAGGTTGTTAGACAACATCTTTTGAGGTGGCAAGCAGGCAGATTACTCCAGACGTCATCACTTTAAGGCGGCTACTGCAATGCTTTAATAGTTTATTTAACTCTGTGTTTGATTACGCAAGCATTTAGGCCTCTGCAGATGGTCTTCGGGGCAAACTAATGGCCTCAGCCCTTCCCTACGTCAGTAATACATCTACCACACTATTAATAGCTTTTTATAATTTTAGGTAAGACTTGCGGCGCTATGGTGACAAATCTCTGATCAAGTAAATAAACTTTTACCACTTCTAAAGACCCCCATTTTACGCAATATGTCTTCTTCCAGCCAATCTTTTGGATTCAAGGGTCCGAAATTAGAGGTAGAAGAGTGCATTGCAGTAAACTGTAGAATAGATCTGGAGATGTGTAACACTGGACAAGTTGTAAATTAAAAGTTATCTCATGATTTACGTAATGAACATTTAATCTACTCCAAGGGCGATTAAAGACGTAAAAAATAAAAACGTTAAATTTGTTGCTTGTAAAGAATTTAATCAGACTAAAACATTTAAAATTTGTTTGCAAAATTGACGGGAAAGGGTACAGAAGTACTTCATGTTATAATAAAATTGCTTTCTTTTATGGAATAAAGGTTGATTTATTCAAACAATCATGGAATTATATTGTTCTATCCAACAATTTCCGGAAACTTGCCACCCATTTAAGCAATCCAATGAAGGCAAGATTAGTGGTTGCTTGATACTACTGATTTGCATTTGAGCATTTGATCTTAAAAGTATAGAAAGCATGAGCAATTTTTCATCTTTATTACACTTTCTTTTAATGAAAAGGAGGAAATTTTTCACCAATTTGAACTGTCTTAGAGGTTTTGTTTTAAGTAAGTGAATGACTTGTATAGGAAACGCTAAATGTGGCCTTGCATTTACCCTACCTGATCGTGGTAAGTTTTATTTAGTTTCTTCCCACCTTTTCTCGGTTTAGACCTCCTTAAAACCTCAGAATTAATTTTGTAAAGTTATAGTATGGCCTCGAATAGTAAGGTTCTCATGGTGACCTAAAATTGACAAGGTTGTGACACGTGTTTGTCCTGGGTAATGATTTTGAAATATAGGAATTAGTCCAACAGGTTTTGCCAATGCTTGAGGACGGATTAGCAAATGCTTTTTCATATTCTGTCTATTTTCCCTACTGTACAACTCTTACATACTCTGCACCTCCTCAAACAGGATCTAACTGTCTGCTGATATCATAAACTGAATCAGTTGCCTTTACTGTTACTCCATTCACGAAGGATTGTCAAGTGGTTCCTCTCCGTCATCTCTTGTTTCGGGGACACCAATAGGGCTATTATGTTGTATCGAAGTCTCACTTTTACTTGCAGTTAGAGACTGGGACTTTATCACATCAGTAGGCTGTTCCGAATGTCGTATGTGTAGGGAGGTAAATATCCGGTGATTCTCAGGACACGGGAAGGGATGAATGTGGAGATGAATAGCTCGACACAAATAAAATGCATTGGAAAACAAAGAGTTCATCAGTCTATCATCATGATTTGCTTTCATTGTTTATCAGGTTTATTGGTGGTAACCATGTGAACAATGTAATTGCACGTTTAATACATCTAGTGGATGATTATATAGAGGGACAATAGGAGATAGCATTTCTTGCAAAGAACAAAGCACCCCGTAACTGTGAAAAGGAAGGGAGTGGAACCTGTGCTTGCATCAGTTCTCTGGAAGTTGATTAAAAAAGGTAATAAATTTATCTGAATGCTTTTACTGAGGTAAAAGCTCCATCTTCTGGTAGGTGGAACATCCATTTAACTCCCCCAAGTGCATTGTAGGGAAGCCGGAAAATATTGTGTAGGTGGGAAGAAAGTGAACGACTCTGCCTGGTTTATTGCCATGCATGAAAAGACTACACCCCGATATTTTGAAAGCCTGAGTAGAACAAACAATTTTAAAAGGCTCAGAATATATCGCTTTCTGGTTTAAAGATAGTAGAATTACTCCCCTAGGTGGGCTAAAATTTGTTTAACAGAGCTGTCGGGTTTGATCAAAGAAAGAGGAAGCGGACTTACCAATAGGATCTCATGAGTTTGCAATTATGATCTCGTCGAAGGAGGTTTGAGTGATAAGTAGAGGCATAATAATTCCATATATTAAGTCAGTGGATAGAAATTAGACACTTATGGAAAGGTTGGTAAAATATTTTCAGAAGTAATCAAATTGCAGCATGTAGTCCCTTTTAATGGTTCCGAAGCATTTGACTTCCGCTTTTATACCACAATCAATCTCTGTAGGTGAGAAAACCCGTGTCATAACCTGATGCTAATGCCAATAGACTGTTTTTTAATGGGATGGATGTGGAGGATGAGAAGGCATGAGGCAACACTTCTCCCACCTCAATGATAAGTTTTCAGCAATATGATGCCCCACATCGACCTGAAAGAACAAGAATCGGACTTTTTTCCGATGGATTCACCACTCTTGGCTCTTTTAAAAGGAGTCTTTCTTGAGCACCTTTGAGCTGTGTCGAGATCTCAGTAGCAGCAGTTTGGCTTTTGGCGCAGTGAACAACTCAGACTCCTGGACTACTGCATCCACTGTGCATCTAACTCTGTGTGTCTTAGAAGCGTGGTTTGTCTGCCAGCAGCACTGATAAAAGGGTGCGATAATAACCGAGGTCTCCTGTCAGTGGCGAAGAACTGGAAGGGACTCAAAGTTTAGTGAAGTGATGCGACGCTAAGATGCAGTAAACAATTTGAGTCGTAAAACCGTATGCGTCAGTGATGGGCGTATAGTTGTCAGTAGCGGTCTCAAGCATAGTACTTCTCAGTCCGATGCTACAGTAGTCAGACAGTGGGTACAATACTTGATTCTGATACTCGATCAGGACAAGAGATAAGTCCTGATGCGAAGGTCGCAGCCATTCTTGCGCTCCTGATATGTATCAAACTTAGCGCCGCCGTCGATACTAGGATAGTATTCCGACTTTAAACACCTCAAAGTACGAAGTGAAACAAACTGCTTTGAACTAATTAAGTCACCCTATCACGTATTATAATGGTGAAGACTTCGTGAAAAAGTTGACGATGGCATGAATTTAGTTTAGCGACTCTTTTTTTTAATGTGGTTGTACTCCAAGTTATGAAGACAAGGCCCAATCACTTTTATCTTAGCTCGAAAAATACCATTCTAAAATTTGTGTCAAAAAGTACTATGAGGCAAATTTGGCAATTTTTTTTACCACTTTGCAGTAGATAAACCTTGCATTATTACCGTAAATATAAAGTGATGGATTATAGGGGAGAGCATCAATGAAAAGACTAACTGGAAGAGGGAGAAAGAAAGTAGTAGGAGGAGAGAGAGGCGAAGGAGGTGGGGCAAGGTAGTTTTGACGTAAGAGCAGACTTAATTAGCTTAAGCCATTAAGTAGAGGACTTCATTATCCAAGAGCTCTCAGGCCTCTCCGAACGCCTATTCCCCCCACTATTCAACGAAACATAATGCAAAAGAGAGCTCCCAGCTAATCGAAAAAGAAACCTCTTGCTAAAAGCACTTTTGAGAACGGTTAATTGACAGACTTGAACTTTTTCCCGCCTTATGTTGATATTCGAGCTTACAACTAGGATATCTTAGAATAATTTTTAAATATTTGGCCCTGAAAGTTTCCTACTAGAAGATTCGTTTGGCAAAACCTTTTGTTTAGAATTTCAAATATTTGTCCTCAACGGCTGTTGTTCGCTTCCACCGCCGACTTCTGACCCATGGTTTGAGAAGACTAGCGCTGGAGGAAGACATCTCATATTACTTATTACAGGGGCTTTAACGAAAATCAGTGGGGTTAACTCCGCCACGAGACTGGTGTAAGCCGAAAAGTCAAACATGGTGTAATGTCCGCCTGCCACTGTTTATACACTGCATCATAAGTCGTAAATTCGAGTCAGCCTCTCCTGCTGTCTGTCTTCTTTTAAACTTAGCCATATCTCACTGGTTCCCAAACCTCACATCACCAAATGCATGTTGAATTTGACAGATGTGGTTGGAGGTTCTTCCCTCACCCGTAGGGTACAACTTGGCTCCTACGCATACTTTTCGGTAGAGCATTCGGAGAGGGTGCAGAATCTATCCTATGGAAATGGTTTAAGATGTATCGTGTCTAGAAGGACTCTCGCTTCCTTAGTTGAATGCTGAATTACGTGTCACTTGCCACATCACGAGACCCCATGCCTTGTAGTAAAGGGTCTAGCTGTGGGAAGGCCTTGCACAGTGCAGTAGAGCAAAAAGTAGGAAGCCACCGCCTCATACTTCCTTATTTCACCCCAATGACGTTTTTCCGAATGATAGGACGGCACAAACATACATGAGGTTTAGGTTTAGCAGACAGTCAAGACACCATATCATGGAAGACTCACACGTCTTCAAGGTTGCAATAACGGTCATGATCCAGCCACAACTCACTCACTCATCGGCTACCCTTATCTGTATGTAAGTTATGCCTACCACGCACGTCACCGACAGGCAGTGGGAAGTTTGGGTGAACATCGAAGAAGGGGTGAATGTCTCGCCGTTAAAAAGTCACTTGGATAATAACATGTCCATAACTATTAAAAGCGCCCAACTCTAGTGATACCGCTTACTGTAATAGATATTTTCGAGGTTTTGGTCTACTATATTTTCCTTAAAGAAATAACAATGGGAAATGGCTGATTAGTGAACAACTGTGCGACTGAGTGGATGACAGGATTGTGATGGAAATTGGCTTTTGCTTTTTAACTTTACGCTGAATAGCAAGAATTTGGTCAACTCTATGAGATTTACTCACCATCCTCCACTTCCACGGATTTCACCAATTTATAACTAAAAAACTTTGCCTGGTTTGAGCACGTGGAGCATTGCTGACGCAATTTGCCAGCACAAACTCCTTACTTGCCTTACACTACACCGGAAATCTTTTTACTCAACGTAACTTCGCAGGACTACAACATACCCAATCAAAGGCATTCTTCCGCAGAAG